GTGTTTTACTGCTTTATTGTAGTTTTATATAATGGTGAAATTGCTGTTATATATGTGTATATACACACAATACAACAGTATAATTTGACCAATGTCATTCACTAGGAATTTCTCCTTGCCCTAGCTCCTCCTTCCCACTAGCCCCTTTCTTCTACTGATCTTCCTTTTTTTAATGATATCACCAGTCTTTTCCTTTATACAGTATCATATGGCTTCCATATATGAGAGAAAGCATATCACCCTTGATCTTCTGAGTTTTGTTTATTTTGCTCAACAGAATGTTTTCAAGTTCCGTCCATTTTCTTGCAAATGACATGATTTCACTTTCCTTTATGGTTGAATAAAACTCCATTGTGTATATGCACCATATTTTATCCATCCATTCCTCCATGGACAGACACCTAGGCAGAGAAAGTGTGTGATAAGGAAAGCTTCTCCCTTCATGGCAGCAATGAAGAAAGAGAAAGAGAGGGTGGGGAATGACACAGCCAACAGGCTTCCTTCAAAAGCACACACCAAGTAACCCACCTCCTCCAGCTGTAACCCACTTACATACACCTGCCTAAAATTATCAAAAAGTCCATTTAAACTGGATGGGCCACTTAGGTTACAGCTCTCACAGTCCAATCATTTCACATTCTGGTATTAATACAGGAACATTTAGAGGGGGAACACTTCGTATTCAAAGGATAATAGCAGGTATCACTTCTCTGTACACATACAGCCAAAGGAAATATATCAGTATACCAAAGAAATTTCCATATGTTCATGTTTATTACTATCAAAAAATAACTGGGATATGGAATCAATTTAGGTGCCCATAAACATGAATGGGTAGAGAAAATATGGTAACCGCCTTTTCTAATCCCATCCACTCTCCCTGCACTTCATTCCCCTTTGTCTAATCCAGTGAACTTCTATTCCTCCCCTCCCTACTCTTCCTTGTTGTGGGTTAGTGTATTCATGTGAAAAAAATAAATACAAAAGTGAGGTTAAATCATGCTAAAGATAATTATGCATACCAAATGAAACAATGTACAAATAGAAAAGACCCTATAGAAGGAAAAATATAGTGTCCAAAATGTAGAAGGAACTAAAAATCAAAATCAGACAAAATTAAACTAAAAAACTTTTCAAATAACCTTATTAAATATGAGCAAAGAGGAAAATTGATAAAACTGGAGACCATCATGCTAAATGAAATAGGCCAGATCCACAAAGCGAAGGATTGAATGTTTTCTGTGATATATGGAAGCTAGACCAAAATAATGGGCAAAAGTTAGAAGGGTAGATTCCACAAAAATAGAAGAAATTAATGGAGTAGAAAAAATGGTTTGAGTAGAAAGGAGGTATGGCAAAGTTGAAGAACTATGCAATGAATCTGACAAAAATTTCTATATACATATATGAATGTATTACAATGAATCTACCTTTGTGTGTATTCACAAGGCTCTAATTAAAAAAAAAACACTAAAAAGAATAGAAGAACCATCAGTAGAGTAGAGAAAAGGGAAAAGGAGTAGGTAGAAAGAAGGGAAAGGAGAAGCAATGGGGAATGAATTAGAATACATTATATTCCATGCTTGCAGAATAACATCAAAATAAGCATACTTAAATTAAAAGAAAGGAGCTTCAGTATTATTTAGAGCTAAAATCAATTAATAAAAAGTGGATGAAGAATATGTGTAGATATTTTTTCAAAAAGCATGGAAATTTCCAAGAGGATATGAAAAGAAGCTCACATTACTTATCATCAGGAAAATGCAATTCAGAATTACAATATTATGGTTTGGATGTGAAGGATCCCCCAAAAGCTCACATGTGAGACAATGCAAGAAGGATTGTAAAAGAAATTATTGGGTTATAACCTTAAGGCAATCAATGATTTACTCCCTGATGGGATTAACTGAGTGGTAGCTGGAGGCAGGTGGGTTAGGCTGGAGAAAGAGGTACATTGGGAGCATGAATATTGGGTATATATTTGTATCTGGCAAGTGGAAATTCTCTCTCTTTTGAGAGCGC